GTGAGCAGCAGCATCTCCTTTGTCTTCCATTCCTGGAGGCACAGAGTTGCTGTTAGTGTGCATCCCAAGCCTTTGTCTCTTGTCCGCCACCACCCGGCAAATGCGACCAAGTCAGGGCCCCGAAAACAGGCCCCAGGCAGTGAGCGTGGGCACTGGCCCCAAAGGGGGCTCCTTCCTCCGGCCCCGGTGGGAAGGCAGGCGGAGAAGTTGGCATTTTCCCCCCAAAGCTCCCTCCTCACACTGAGGTCTCCAGACCATTTAGTGTCTAGTTGTCCGGCCAGTTGAGTGTTGACCTAGGAACCAGGAGGTCAGGGTTCGATTCCCGGTCAGGGCATATGCCTGGGTTGTGGCCTTCATCCCCAATGTGGGGCATGCACGAGGCAGCCGACCCATGATTCTCTCTCATCATTGATGTGTCATCTCTCTCCCTCCCTTCCTCTCTGAAGTCAATAAAAATATATTTAAAAAAATCTCTAATACTTACAATAATAATCTACACTAATAAAAAGACAAACATGCAAATTGACCTTACCTTTGCTATGGCTTAAGCCACGCCCACCAGCCAATCAGAGCGACTATATGCAAATTAACCCAACCAAGATGGCGGCTGGCAGCCATGGAGCTGGAGCAAGCAGGAGGCTTGGTTGCCCCAATGATGGAGGAAGCCAAGCTTCCCTCCTGCCCGCCCTGGCCAGCTCTGAGCTCCTCTCAAGGCTACAAAGTTTCAATTATAGAAGGTAAATAAATCCCAGAATAAAAATTAAAAAAGGATAGGCTGGGAGCTTCCGTCACCAGGGCGGCTTGGCCAGCCTGAAAACGGCCCTCAGTCCCTCACCCAGACTGGCCAGGCACCCCAGTGGGGACCCCTCACCCTAAAGGGGGTGTGGCCAGCCTGAAAACAGCCATCAGCCCCTCACCCAGGCTGGCCAGGCACCCCAGTGGGGACCCCCACCCTGAAGGGGGTGTGACTAGCCTGCAAACAGCCATCAGCCCCTCACCCAGGCTGGCCAGACACCCCAGCGGGACCCCCACCCTGATACGGGACACCCTTCAGGGCAAACCAGCCTGCCCCCACCCATGCACCAGGCCTCTATCCTACATAGAAATAAATGATGTCTGTAACGTTCACAGTCATGGCTCTCGGGGTGGACAGGCCTGTGGAGGCCCGTGGAGCCGCAATGTGAGCTCCCAGTGGGTGCAGCCGCTGCCTGGGGGAGCCAGGAGAGGTTGCGTGTGGGCATGGGACCCAGGCCTGGCATGGCGTCAGGAGGCTGACAGCTAAGTCACTTGTGAACGAAACCCCCACACCCGCGTCTCACCTCCTCGATCTTCCTGCGCAGCCCCAGTTTCCTGTGCATGTGGTCCCAGTGCCGCCGCTCCTGTCGGTCCATCCAGAGCCGGCGCTGCTCCTCCGCCAGGCGCTCCCGGTACTCCAGC